GTTGACTTTCATTTGTTTATGGTTTGAAAAAAGTCTCAAAATTAAAAGCATTTTTGTATCAAATTATCTGACACTTAAGATAATCAAAGCTCTGAAAGAATTGACGTATACATTGCTTGATAATTTGGTCATATTTTGTTGGGTTTAACATTCTGACCTCTTAATTAATAGCGGTCATCTTTTGGCTAAAGTCAATGTCCGTTACAAATATCTCAAATCAAGGCTTATTTTTTCCCAAGTTATTAATCCGACAAGGAAGATGTTACGTTCCGACACACTATGGCATTGTCTTGCCAGGCGTGTTGCTAGACGGTATGGTTTGTTAAACTGCTGAGCAATACAAAAATCAGTTTGTGAAAGACCTGTTAATTGACTACAGTATAAAATATTGAAACAGTAATTTTGAATCCTCAGTACTGCTATCTTCTGAGAGATATGACTAACATGCAGGCTTGTAATCTATATGGAAAAATGAATCATCCTGCAAGATTTACTTAAGTAATCACCGAATTAAAATACATTCCTTTTATATAGCTTTCCATGTTACAAATATATTTACTTACAGTTCTTTGAAGTGATTATATATGTTATTAACATTCTGGTATGTCGTATTCATCTCTACATATTGATTTTCAAATGAATTAGTTGATATAATCAATCTTTAATGAAAATCATTCAGATGTACTTTATTATGTTCATTATTTAATCATTGTTAGATATAGACTGCATAAACAACTTAACCACACATTTCAATTCTATTAAACAGAAAGCTAACAAGGCTTTTCCATTTTTGGACTATATGAACTTCTTTTTACCCTAGATGAACCATTACTCAATTCTGAGCCAGAAAATCAACGAAACACCCCACCTTGACAGATCGAACGTGCATGATGTTTGGCTACAAATGTAACCACTATTGTGTTAAAGCCACTGACCCCACGGTGGTAAAATGAAAAGAAAATGAATTAAATTTTGAAGTAAACAGGAAATACTGATCTAGCTATGTTCATTTTGGTACCATATGCCGTTTTTCATGGAATGGCACTACTTTGTCACATTGAAGGTTCTATAATAACCGCCGTATGAACACATCTGCGGATGTTTCTAATCTCAAAATTGCACCATTTTCGTCTGCTTAAGCTGGTGGTAGGGGCGTGGCCGTTAACTTTCACTTTCTAGTACCGTCCATGAACAGGCTCAATCAAACCGAGTCTGCAATATTTTTAATTTTGTCGTGTTGGACTTTCTTTAAGGATTATGTTTTTCTCTATTTTAATGTGTAAAACCTATATTACTGTCATCTTAATTCAAGAACAAATGTTTAAAAAAGCGACAAAAAAGTCAATTAATCATGTTTTTCCTTTGTATTATCTACAACGTTACAAACGCAGTAGCAAATATAAAAAGGAAAAGTTAAGTCATTAAACGTAGACACAACAATGCTGAAGGAAAATCTCGGCGTCCGGTAAGCCATGGGTCGTATATCAATTTTTGTCATTATGTAAGCCACTATTCTATTAAGTTTTATTCAATAAATTCATCATGTATATATGGTGGCATATTTCTGCCACCAGATAACCTGATAATTAACTAGTTAATTAAGAGGTTAACTAGTTACGTAACTAGTTAATCTCTTAATTAACTAGTTAATTATCAGGTTAACTAGTTACGTAACTAGTTAATTTTTTCAATAAAGAAAAGATCATAACGGGAAATAAATTCATGTTAGTGCCTGCAACTGCCATCCTTTTATTATATCATCATCTTAAAATTAAGAGGTTAACTAGTTACGTAACTAGTTAACCTCTTAATTAACTAGTTAATTATCAGGTTAACTAGTTACGCAAATACCTAACTAGTTAACCTGATAAATAACTAGTTAATTAAGAGGTTAACTAGTTACATAAAAACGTAACTAGTTAACCTGATAAATAACTAGTTAGTTAAGAGGTTAACTAGTTACGCAAATACCTAACTAGTTAACCTGATAAATAACTAGTTAATTAAGAGGTTAACTAGTTACGTTTTTACGTAACTAGTTAACCTAATACTTAACTAGTTATTTATCAGGTTAACTAGTTATGTAACTAGTTAACCTGATAATTAACTAGTTAAGTATTAGGTTAACTAGTTAGGTATTTTCGTAACTAGATAACCTGATAATTAACTAGTTAATTAAGAGGTTAACTAGTTACATAAAAACGTAACTAGTTAACCTGATAAATAACTAGTTAGTTAAGAGGTTAACTAGTTACGCAAATACCTAACTAGTTAACCTGATAAATATCTAGTTAATTAAGAGGTTAACTAGTTATGTTTTTACGTAACTAGTTAACCTCATAACTAACTAGTTATTTATCAGGTTAACTAGTTACGTAACTAGTTAACCTGATAATTAACTAGTTAAGTATTAGGTTAACTAGTTAGGTATTTTCGTAACTAGTTAATCTGATAATTAACTAGTTAATTAAGAGGTTAACTAGTTACATAAAAATGTAACTAGTTAACCTGATAAATAACTAGTTAGTTAAGAGGTTAACTAGTTACGCAAATACCTAACTAGTTAACCTGATAAATAACTAGTTAATTAAGAGGTCAACTAGTTACGTTTTTACGTAACTAGTTAACCTCTTAACTAACTAGTTATTTATCAGGTTAACTAGTTACGTAACTAGTTAACCTGATAATTAACTAGTTAAGTATTAGGTTAACTAGTTAGGTATTTTCGTTACTAGTTAATCTGATAATTAACTAGTTAATTAAAAGGTTAACTAGTTACATAAAAATGTAACTAGTTAACCTGATAAATAACTAGTTAATTAAGAGGTCAACTAGTTACGTTTTTACGTAACTAGTTAACCTCTTAACTAACTAGTTATTTATCAGGTTAACTAGTTACGTAACTAGTTAACCTGATAATTAGCTAGTTAATTAAGAGGTTAACTAGTTAAGTATTTATTTAACTAGTTAACCTATTAATTAACTAGTTAATTATCAGGTTAACTAGTTACGTAACTAGTTAACCTCTTAATATTAAGCTGACAATAAGGGATGGCAGTTTGCAGGCACTAACATGCATTTTTTCCCGTTATGATCTTTTCTTTATTGAAAAAAATAACTAGTTACGTAACTAGTTAACCTGATAATTAACTAGTTAATTAAGAGGTTAACTAGTTACGTAACTAGTTAACCTCTTAACTAACTAGTTAATTATCAGGTTATCTGGTGGCAGAAATATGCCACCATTATGGTGGCATATTTCTGCCACCAGATAACCTGATAACAAACTAGTTAATTAAGAGGTTAACTAGTTACGTAACTAGTTAACCTGATAATTAACTAGTTAATTAAGAGGTTAACTAGTTACGTAACTAGTTAATTTTTTAAATAAAGAAAAGATCATAACGGGAAATAAATGCATGTTAGTGCCTGCAACTGCCATCCTTTTATTATATCATCATCTTAAAATTAAGAGGTTAACTAGTTACGTAACTAGTTAACCTGATAATTAACTAGTTAATTATCAGGTTAACTAGTTACGCAAATACCTAACTAGTTAACCTGATAAATAACTAGTTAATTAAGAGGTTAACTAGTTACATAAAAATGTAACTAGTTAACCTGATAAATAACTAGTTAGTTAAGAGGTTAACTAGTTACGCAAATACCTAACTAGTTAACCTGATAAATAACTAGTTAATTAAGAGGTTAACTAGTTACGTTTTTACGTAACTAGTTAACCTCTTAACTAACTAGTTATTTATCAGGTTAACTAGTTACGTAACTAGTTAACCTGATAATTAACTAGTTAAGTATTAGGTTAACTAGTTAGGTATTTTCGTAACTAGTTAACCTGATAATTAACTAGTTAATTAAGAGGTTAACTAGTTACATAAAAACGTAACTAGTTAACCTGATAAATAACTAGTTAGTTAAGAGGTTAACTAGTTACGCAAATACCTAACTAGTTAACCTGATAAATAACTAGTTAATTAAGAGGTTAACTAGTTACGTTTTTACGTAACTAGTTAACCTCTTAACTAACTAGTTATTTATCAGGTTAACTAGTTACGTAACTAGTTAACCTGATAATTAACTAGTTAAGTATTAGGTTAACTAGTTAGGTATTTTCGTAACTAGTTAACCTGATAATTAACTAGTTAATTAAGAGGTTAACTAGTTAAGTATTTATTTAACTAGTTAACCTATTAATTAACTAGTTAATTATCAGGTTAACTAGTTACGTAACTAGTTAACCTCTTAATATTAAGCTGACAATAAGGGATGGCAGTTTGCAGGCACTAACATGCATTTTTTTCCCGTTATGATCTTTTCTTTATTGAAAAATTAACTAGTTACGTAACTAGTTAACCTGATAATTAACTAGTTAATTAAGAGGTTAACTAGTTACGTAACTAGTTAACCTCTTAATTAACTAGTTAATTATCAGGTTATCTGGTGGCGGAAATATGCCACCATACACCATACATATCTAAAGCTTTGATTTTCTATTGATACATAATATGCCTCTATTTTTTATGGTATAGCATTGCGCAGTAGATCTCTATAAATGTTTTATGAACCAAGCACTTCGAGTAAAAAATGTTTCCACATTGGAGGTCATATAATATCATAAAGATAATTAAGAAAAAAACATTTTTCAAACAAATTCATTTTAAATGCAAATTATTTCGTTCGAACTATATAATATTTATATTGCAAAATAAATAAATGTATATAACTATATACGTATGTATATTGTACCATTTGCATTAGAAATAAAATTACAATTTAAATTAATATACATATTATTATGATCATATGTCTTGTTCAGTGTCTGCTTTATTCTTTATTCATTTATTTATTTTATTTATATAAAAATGATAAGGTACATACGATGTTTAAAACCTAACGTACTACATTGATGTAACTTGAACTGCAAAAAAATAACATCAAAATGCAGTTTAGATGCTTTTACATATGAACTACTCGATAGCAAATACATTTTCCTTCATTTTATTTCAAAGGGAAATAACAAAAACACAAATAAAGGATTTAAATGACAATTATATAATAGTTATCACTCTTTGTTTACCATCAGGTCACAGCAAGCATAGTGTTTATCATAAAACAGTCTTATCAAACATAACAAAGTCGAGTACAACACATCTTAATGATTTGTTACTTCTATTTTAGTAATAGTCATTGTTAAATAACATGTTTTGTAACTTACTGACATAAGGGAAGACCCGTTGCTAATGTAGAAAGAACTTGTGAGTCAATTATTTGTGCCATATACGTTAGATTTTATACTTAGTCTATTGTTTTGTAACTCTCTTTACATATATTACCTTTTTTTGTCAATAAAATCAAACTAAACATAACATTGTTTTTCTTTCCTTCTAAATGGTGACAGTAATATATATTACACTTAAATACGGGAGGGACGGAATGGGTAAGATAACATTTTATCTGAATCAAAAGACAACCAACTTTGGAAATTATTGGATATTCTTTATCAGTAACAGAAGATGAAAATTGGTGTGTCATTTTTATAATGTTCAAAATAAAAACATGGATTTCAACTCAAAAGTTATAAAATGTAAGAGCGTTTTTAGATAACTCGATCTCTAGGCATCTTTCTGGATCTACTACATACTGGTGCAATATAAGAAACTCTGGGCATGTCATGATTATCTACAATCTACTATAACTAGATTGAAAGACAGGTACTGAGCACACTTTGCCTTTTCTGTTAGCTTCCATGTTTTACAATCGGTTAACAGTTTTTATGATAATGAATTTAGCATCAGTGCCAAATATTGTCATGATTGCAAAAAAAGTAAAAAGAAAAAATAAATGGAGCAAATATTATTTCTAAATTAAATTACAAAATGTAGTTATGCCTAAATAAAATTATAATTGTGATTCAATTTAAGTGTCAAACTTAACAATATTGTACAATACGACTAGTCAAAAACTATAGAAACTATAGGCACAGTCGCCCTACACATGTTTAGTTACGTGTATACACAAACGCAAACATTCGCCCACACGTACATTCTGCGCGAACACATACCGAACGCATGCGCAAACTATCATTTACATTTATGCTAGGATAATCACATGTACATTAATGCTTGTAAACATGAGCATTTGTATCTTATCAAGTGCTCATAATGTCTTCTCCTTCCTTACAAACAAAAATCAAGTACGACCGATCACAATAAATGTATACAATATATACATACGAGCAATAATAAAGCACACCACCTTAAAATATTAAAGTTTCATAAAAGTTCTTTATAACCGATACCCACTCAATTTTTGTCTGCCACTGCTTTTACATGTCACAATTTTAATATATTTTATACTTTTTTGGGTCCACATAACATTCCATCAAGGTTCAGTGTCACTCATATCAAAACTGGACGTTAAACATATAATACACTTTGTACTTTTTAAGTTATCGTAGCATGATTATCTGCTAACATAATATTGTCATACAATTAAAGCAGTTAAAGTTTGTTCACGTGATCAATATGTTAACTGTAACTTCTGTAATTTTCTCTTGCCATTACATGCGTTTGATACAACAAGAAATGATTTGTCTCTTGATATACAGATTGTTCTTGGATATTCCATATCCGTCTTGTGAGACGATACGATTCTACCGGTTTGAGAAATCTGCACAATGGAGTGTGTGTTTTTACTACAAACAAAAATAGTGTCAAAGGGCCCAACTGTCACACCACGTGGCTCCTGTATCTTATCATCCTTCACCACGACTCTCGTGTTTGTCTTGGTATCATATATGTACAAAGTATGCTCGTATTTGTCTGTGAGTATCAGTTTCTCAGTATTTCTATCATAAGTACAAGCACTTGTTTCTATTGGATATATCTTTTTGGGGAAGTTTGCATTGATATCTTTTTCATTTCCTGTTAATGATATAATACGAACTGGTCTTGAATAATCATATGTCCCTCCGACAAAATTTCCTTCATCGTTTACACATATCGAGTCATATTTTGTGGTTACCATTTTTGTTCTATTTAAAATTATCTGATTTGATTTATTTACACGTAATATGTCTAACCTCAATGCATTTCCACTTGTAATCATTACTGCCTCATCAGATATGGCAACAATAGATAGTGGCTTGTAAGATAACTGATATGATCCTAGTTTCTCAAGCTTCTCATTGTATACTAGGCATTTCTTGTTTGTATTATCCACAACAACTAGTCTACCATCTGGTAGAAAATCTATCCCTGTATAAAACGGTTCGCCTTCGTCATCTTTACTTTGCTTTAAATCAACACAGCATACCGGTGTTATTTTAATTGCTTTGTCTACAGGTGTTATAATGCCGGCAGCCTCTGACAGATGTGATTTCAAACTCAGTTGTCCTGAAACATAATCAGCGAAAGGAAGTGGTGGCAGGTTAAATGCTTCGTCAAACGCAAAGTTTACCGTCATTGTCTCTAAGCCTTTGCATTCTTCATCGACATTTGTGTGAAGTAAGTTGATCTCTTCCTTCATTTTCTCCTCCACAATAAACTGCTCAATCGAAGTTCCATTCTCATATACTTCATCAATTGTTTCTAGACACGTTGTTATATCGGCTAGATACTTCTCGTTCTGTAACTGCTTTGTTGTAAGCTTTACAAATGTTTCTGTCTGTAAAGATTTAGCTTGTTTAACAATGGACATTTCTAATTCGTCGAACATTTTATTTACTTCATCCCGCCTTTTCTTTATTTTTACTGGTATATCTGTAACATCTTCTTCAAGTTTCCTTTTAGAGCAGACTACGCTATTTATTATTTTTTCTGCCTTCTCTTTAACTTCCTGTAATTTGACCTTTGCATATGACCTTTTACGGTCTGACTCAACGGCAGCCTTGACGTCTACAACACTTTGACATTTACGGTGATTTACAATAGCGCAAGTACTGCAACAAAGCGTTTCCTCATCTTCACAAAAATACTCTAAATCCTTCTGATGCAGAATACATTGATCTATTCCTTTCATATTAAATTTTGTTCGTGCGATGTTTGATTCATTCGCATCCACTAATGTGTGACTTCTCATGAAAGTGTGTGTTTCATGAACTTTTGAACAATCCATACACTGCAATTCATCACAAGTTCGACAAAAAATATTGGCATCTGTTATTGTATCCATATTCAAGCATGGCTGACACAAGGACAGTTCACAGTTTGCATTGCTATTCCGATTGGCAGCCATGTTAGTTCAAATATCGACTTATTTTGCTTTGCTTGTTTGATCGTGTGTTGTATTATAGTCGTTATCGTTAGAATTACCTGACCTCATCAATCACATAATGTAAAAAAGAAGATAACGCATTTGATTTTATTAAACAACGTCGACAATGTTCAATTTAAAGCACAAGTTTTAAGTCGTGAATGTTTTATTTCCTTAATTGTTCTACCATATAAATTTCATGTTCATATCTAAGAGCAATCTTTACACATACAAGTAACGGGTTAAATGAAATGAAATGAAATTATATAAGAAGTTAAACCGTAACTGCACTAAGGTGACGATGTATAGTAAACTATATATGAGGGAACTTTGATTTAAAATATCAGAAACATATTATCTTTACATGTAACTTGTTAACATTAGGTTTTATTTTCTAGATCAATCTTAACCTTTTCTCTGTATTAATGAAACTTAAAAAATGCATAAAAAACATTCCAACCATTTTTAAAATTAATTGGTAAAATACGGGTTGTTTCCAATTTTCAGTTTTGTTGTGTTGGAGTTTCTTTAGGGATTCTGTTTTTCTCTATTTTGTTATTCTATCAATATTATTTTGTAAAAATAAATCTATAGATAAGAAGCGCGCAATGTAAAATTTTACTTTGATGACCATGATGAAGAGCGTGTATGTAGCCGGCATGCACCATTTATTTAGTGATAATAGGCTTTCGCATAAAGTTTGTTATCTAAGATGCGGTTTACAAGATTGCCCCGTTCAACAGATTCCAAGGTCCAATGCAGAATGCAGTGTAGGTTTTAAATGCTTGGAAAATGACGTAAAGTGTTCCTTAATCTACACTCTCAGACAGGGTTACAAGTCGTATTGAACCTGGCAACAAATTAGGTAAATTCAGCAAACTTTCTTTTAAAGATGATGAGAAATTTTTGATACTGCATGAAAAACGAAAAACAAACAAATGATTCTCTGTAGTATTTTGTAATTTTAGCAGACGTGGTGTACTTCGAGAAACTGGCGAAGGAAGAGAAGAACAAGAAAAAACATTTAGCAAATGAACGAAAACAAATTCAAAGGAAAAGAATGATAAAACTTCTACCTTCGTCTGATTTCCAAAGCTACCATGTCAGAGAAAACAAAAATCGAAAACTTAACTAAATCAATCAATCATTTGAAAACAAACAGTTCACTGCGTAGCTAAAATATCATAGCATTTTCGACGCCAATGATCAATAAATAAATAAATAAATAAATAAATAAAACAAATAAATAAATATAATAATATATATAGTAAATATGTATATAGCTCTGCTTTTAGTTGTTCATTATATCGTTGTTCAATGCAACTTACTGATTTTGCTGTGATGTCACGAAACTCACGGCACCACAATGTTGGCAAACATTTGAAGCATGCTTTGAAGCCTAACTCAGTTATTAAGTACATTGTCGGTTTTAGATGCGAGCACATAGCCTCATAAATCCATACTTCCGATTAATATAAAGAGAAAAAAGGTAAACGCCAATAACGTAACATATAACCGACATGTTACTTAAAACATTCATGATCAGTTATGAAGCAATGTCCCTTTGCTTTCCCTTTCAAATCAATAACTAACTGGCTATTTCTTCATTCAATGACAAGAAACAAATGTCCGACTTAATATCGGATAGCCCGAGTCACAATCAAATGCTGTCTCCGTTTACACGGCAATAGAAAGTATTGAGATTGCTGGTTCTCCGGAAGAAAACAAAAAAGATGAAACCCTTTAAACAAAAAAGTGTCCGACTCATGATCAGAATGACAAACAGAAAAATGCCTTAAGAAAATAAATTTAAAAAGTAAGTAAATAAGTAGTAACAAAAGTGGTGTCCTTAATATTTGTTGTCATTCCACGTGTATTTATGGTATTTATCAGCATAAATTAGACAGGATAATTGGCTTGTTTTTGAGTTAGCGATAGAAATGGCAACCAAATATTAATAGAAAATTTAGGTCCTTTATGCTCGAGAAATGCTTTTATTTTTTATTTTTGTTGTGATGGTTAAGATACAAAAAAGGTACTCATCGGCCAATAATCTGGTCAATCGTTTGCTTTTGTTGCTGTTTGGAAACTAGTACAGTTATTTCGTATTAGTATTTTGTATGTTAGTCCAAATACTATTTTATTTTTATTTTGCTACTTTGATGAAATTCAGCGCCTATTTGTGAAGGAGATGAGCATCTAAAGTGCTCTAAAACTGTTATTTCAACGATATTTTAATATCATGTTTGTCCTTTCTGAAGAAGAAAAATTATTTATTTCTGAGGCTAAATGTACCTTTATCACATATTCACAAATTAACAGCGTAGAATTAATTTGTGTAAAATGATGTGTGAGGACCATGAGATCAATTTATTTTTATTGTAAAGCCTATGTGTTAATAGTGCGATAAACCTATAACTCTGACAATTTTAGAAATACTTTATGGTTCAGTTTCTTCTCATTTTAATTTCCTATAAATACTCATTTTGTGAATTAAACCTCCGTTGTGGGGCTTTTAAATATTCATCCAATATAAAATCTCTTTTTAAACAAATAATCTGTTTTTTATTCTAAAAATATCGTTACTTCCGGCTTGAAACGAGATTTTCAATGAACGGCGATGATAAAACTATCTTACGCCAGGTAAAAAAATAGATAACATTATCTTAACAAGGATTTCTTTGTATACATTTCTCAACTAGCTCAGCTCATTATTTTAGATATGAAAAAAAGAAACAAAACAATTTCAGCGGTAGTAGTTGATAACAAGGTACGTTTGACATCCATTTAAGATGAAAAACTGGAGCGATGTTAAAAAACTAGGACAGAGCTTTTTAACAATTTCTTTGTATTCTTTCAAATTTTAAAAGGTTGACTAAATGTAGATAGATGGTGACGTTTCATCAACTTATATCTCATGATAATGAAAGTACAGATCTTTTAGAAGCAAGTCCTGATTCACTATGATTAACCATGGTTATTACCAAAGGTATGTTATTACCAATAATGTCAATATAGAGAGCCATATACATGTGACAATAGGCCACATTTTGCCTCATTTTATCGGTTAAAAAATTATTAAAGCATAACAGATTGACGAAAATTTATTTATTATGCAAAAGCGAACATTTGCACTAAAATCGTTTTCTTGCATATGAACATGCACAGTTAATTATCGTATAATTATGGAGCAAACAAGTTCTGAATTAACTATAGTAGTAATTGATCTACCATATAAAGTAATAAAATTAAGTACGTTAAACAACAACAACAAAAAAACAACAACAAAACAACAACACCTACAAGCGCGCGCACACACACACATGCGCACACACACGCGCGCGCACACACACACACACACACACACACACACACACACACAATGGCACTCTTGCACAGATTTATGTTCACAAGCACGTTTGTATATACGAGAAAGGCGAATAGACATATGAATCGAACAATTTACATGCACACGCATTTGCACCTATAACGTAACCAGTTTCTATGTTGTTTAAACAGACAGCTACCAAGTACTTGGCATCATTCAGTATGTAGTGTAAATTATTACACTATATTAATAGTAGGTAATCAGAACATGGTGATATCAGTTGCTAAATCTGATACAATTTTGTCGAATTGAAACCATAAATATCTGACAACCTGATCAATGTGTTATTTTCAACTTCTGTAGTTTTCTCTCCAAATTATATGCATTTGATACAACAAGAAATGATTTGTCACGTGACACACATATTGTTGTTGGAAATTTCAAGTCTGTAATGTATGATGATAAGATCCGGCCGGTTTGAGAGATCTCCGGT